CCAGCCATGTGATCGGGTGGGAATGGCTTGCCAGCCATGTGACTGAGTGGGCGTGGCCAACTTGTAAAATGTGGTGAAACTCACTTAACAACGCTCTTGCTTAGCAACCAAAATGTTGGCTCAGAAACTCTGGCATTTGAAGCACACAAGTCTTAAAGCTGTCAAATTTGAACACCCCTGGTTTTTTTTTTTCTAAAGGGTTAGGGGTGCAAAGGCCTTGTAACTTGACAGCTTTAAGACTTGTGTGCTTCAAATGCCAGAGTTTCTGAGCCAACATTTTGGTTGCTAAGCAAGAGCGTTGTTAAGTGAGTTTCACCACATTTTACAAGTTGGCCATGCCCACTCAGTCACATGGCTGGCAAGCCACTCCCACCCGGTCACATGGCTGGCAAGCCACTCCCACAAATCAGGCCACACCTACAGAAGAGGTTCTAAAAAAATTTGAAACCCACCACTGGTCGTACACCTTAAATGTTTTAGGTAAAGCTTACATTTGGAAAGATATACCTCCTCCAACCCAGGTATTCCCCTAAAGGTGACCGAAATCGGCTCTGTTAAGTCAAAGCGACTCATTATTATTCTGAGTACAGTAGCCAAGTAAAGGACTGCATTATAAAATCCTGATAAGGAAGGAAGCTAATTTGGATTCACCTTGAACAGAGGCTCCTGGGAGACCTGGCTGACCTTGTTCACCTATGAGAAAGTTGAATAATCAGGACAAGGATTATATTACTGCCTTTTCATACCATCCAATGAACAAACCTCTCAGTTTTATTACCTTTGAATCCTCGTGGGCCAGGCAACCCTGCAAATAAAAAGCTCTATTAGAGTCGCAATGCTTATGCAGTGGGCACTCACTCAGGATTTCTTTGGCTAACGTCACTGCTATTGGCACAGATACTCCTCATCAGTTTCCATTTCCATTCTTTTTGTTGGTACGAATGCTGCTTAAGGCAGTGTGGTTTACATAGCAGACATTTTCTCCGAGGCCTGTATTTATGCATGAAGATTCAGTCACTTTGTACTAATGACTCCTGCCAAATGGCATGACATTAAATCTAGATAGGAATCTGATTCTACCAGCCTACTAAATAGTAGTAGTAAACTGTGTAGCTGCCAATAACCTGAGAAGAAACCTGTCTGAGGGAAAGGAAGGGATAACATCTTTGATGACAGGGGAAGGCTGAATTATTTTATAGGGTGCAGCCTCACTGCAAGCTATAACACATCCTCAGAACAATTTCTGAAGTTTAACATCTAGGTGTATGCTGCAGTGTGAAATAAATCACAAAAAATGTATTTAAAGAATATTAAGAATGGCTAGTCCTGTTTCATTGGACATGTGATGTACACTTAGATTTAAGGGAGCATCTGTTATCTGTCAACTTCAAACAGTTCAGGCCTGCCACAGCCATTTTTCCATTTCTCAGATTGCCACACAATATGGGAGAAGGGAAGTCTGGAATGTCAGACCAGACAACAACAACCAATCATCCTGTGGGAACCATGGTCATTTCAACAGGTGCTGGCCAGAGACTGAGGGGAGTTGCCAAGGAGATGCCAGAACACCTAACTGGACAATCTGACCTGTGACCATGAGGGAGGGAATTATTCTTTTCTTTAATTATACTGAAACCACGGGAAATATTTAGAGTTGGTTTTACTTTCATTCATGCTTATAAATGATGAACTCAATAAAACAGTTCTTTGAGAAATCTGAAAGTCTTGGAGTGCTGAATTGGTTGGGTTCATTACTCGGAATCTTGACATCATTGTAATTTTTTTTCCTTCCTTCCTTCCTTCCTTCCTTCCTTCCTTCCTTCCTTCCTTCCTTCCTTCCTTCCTTCCTTCCTTCCTTCCTTCCTTCCTTCCTTCCTTCCTTCCCTCCCTCCCTCCCTCCCTCCCTCCCATCCATCCATCCAGTTTTACATTGGTCTCATGTTTCTCAGGCTAAAACTCAGCTCTACTTTGCTGTAGCTTTAGTAACTTTGCAACACTGGCTTTCCCAGTCTAATCATTTTCTATACTCAAAAGCAGATTTCAAATTACCTTGATCTCCTTTTGGACCTGGAGGACCAGGGGGTCCTGGTGGGCCAGCAAAGAAAGTTTCTGTAGTAAAAGAACATCATTATTATTTTCAGCAACAACCAAGACACATTAACAGATACAGGCTCAGAATCCTGGGCTTTCTTTATTGATCAGAAGGATCTCTTCTTAATGTAAAGTTTGTCTTATGTCGAGGCACTTACAGTATAATATTTGCTTCAGGATTGTAGGGAACAGAAACTTCAAAATCAAATGAAAATAGCTACCTGATGTGGGAACAAAAGAACCTGGTCTCCCAGGTGGACCTGGTAAGCCTTCTCCTAAGTATCAGAAATATTATGTATTAGTGCTAATTACTACATACATCTCTATGAAAGAGCATTCAAGTTATTTTTATAGGAAGTGCAATATGACTGTTTTGCAGAAGCTCAAGAACCATTTAAGCACACCTGGCTCTGTGGTTTGGGGGTTCATATTATACTTCCTTCATTACTTTTTGATCACGGACTTCATTAATCGATTCCACTGCAACTAGAGCAGAGAAAGCATCTATTGTGTGCTTATGATATATTATGAATTGATTGGAATTTGTCTTTGAAGACAGCACAGCTGTTGAAAACATAATGAATGTGTTGATTCTGTGAAAATAAATGTTTACCTGGTGGGCCACGGGGCCCTGGTGGGCCCTCAACAGAGGCACCTGTTAAATGGAGAAAAAACCCAATTACTTTGGATTCAGTTAATACTGCATTATAGTATGGTATGCTGGTTTAACTGCTGAGCACAGGAAGGCACTACAGAGAGTCATCAATTTGGCATAAGAAACCATTGGTTGCCCTCTAACACCACTGGATAACATCACCAGGTCTCACTGCTTTAGCAGAGTAAGGAAGATACTCAGAGATGATTCACACCCTGGTCAGTATCTCTTCGCACTTCTATCATTGGGCAGAAGACATCAAAGCATAGCCAGCCGAACAATTCATTCGGTTTAAAAATAGTTTCTGTCCTTGGGCTATCAAAATCTTAAACACAACCACAATCACTCCACGCACGCACAGAAACGCATGACTAATTTTTCTTTTTCTTTCTTCTTTTTTCTTTTCCCCTAATTACTTGCATTTGGATTATTCATTATACTATTTATGTTGTTTGTATTTGTTGTCATGAATTGCACCAGTGGGCTAAAACCAATTTTGTTGTATTTATTTTGTACAATGACAATAAAGGCTATGCTATGCTATGCTATGCTATGCTATGCTATGCTATGCTATGCTAAACTATGCTGTGCTATTGCTATTGCTATTACTATAAAATAGTAACACAGTTGTGCCTTGTCTTCTGCAAAGATATTTTAGAATTATAGCAGCTCAACTGTCACTTCTACCAAACAGAATTTTACACACACACACACACACACACCTACAATAAACTACAAATATTAAGGAATAAAGTTTAGGACAACTAGAAAACTTCTAGCTTTGGTTTTTTTTCTCAGAAATAGCAATTGAATTTATGATGTTAGTGACCATTAATGGAATCTAATAGACAAAGTCCATTAGAGGACTTAAATCATGCTTCATCTCACAATCTAATTCATCTTCTTTTTCAAACGTATCGAAAGTATATACCTGGGGATCCTGGTGGACCTGGGGGTCCTGGAGGTCCTGGAGGTCCTCTAAGTTTTGGCAACGCTAGACAAAAAGAGGCAAGTAGAATTAATATTTTTCAATGTACAAATTAAATATTAGATACATTTTAGAGATGAAAACACATTAAAAAAAGAATCAAAGTAATTTCCCCAATACTTCAGATTACTGGCCTACTGCCACAGCTGTGAACTTTTTATTCTTCCTGAGCAACAGGCACATTCAGTGAAGTACAAATACTAACAGTACAAATTGAGTTTCAATCAGTTTTAGTGCAGTATGGAGATTCAGGGGACATGGGAACTTGAATGAAACCAGGAGTGCCTCTGTCACATGTGCTTTGTCAAAAGGGTACTCTGGTAGTCAGATGTCTTGGTCAGGCAGGCAACATGATCCTCTACAGAACCTGTGGAGGTGGGCAGAGGCAGGACGTGCTTTGTTCTCCAAAGTTTGTAACCATGACTACAGTTTCCTAAATTGCCAGCTAATGTGAACAATGGGCATGTTGGCTGAAGAAAATAAGGGTTTTAGTTGAACAAATCAAATTAGATAAACTGAATTAAGATTATCTCAGATAAAGCTTATTCTCTTTGATCCTGAGACATTTGTTCTTCAGAGTCTGCAGACTTTCATCTCAGCTAGAAGTACCAGTAACACGTATATGAAAATATTGTCAGTTCATCCATACAGTGCACTTAACTGATATGCAGTACTTCCAATCATTAAATCATCAATACATTGTTTTGTCAATTGTTTTAGTTTGTGATCTAAGCAGTTGATCATGAGGAATAGGAAGAATAGGGAAGTGAATGCCAGATTCTTAATGATTACAGAATCTGGAGAGTCATAGTTAACATCCTAATGGCATAAGCCATCTCTTTGCTATTCTCAATACTGTTAGAACATTTATGTCTATCGGGGGGAGGGGGGAACTGTTCTACCTTCTAGCGGAGCAACTGCAGGATTAGCAGTTTCAACAAAGGTGGTTTCTCCTTGAATGCCTCTCTCACCACGAGGACCTGCATCAGAACATAAAAAATGTCACATTTCTTAATTATCAGAGCTGGGGTTTGCAGGGTCTTAGCAGGGTAAAGCATTCCTCACAAGTGTAATTTGGATTTGGCAAGCTTCCACCTTATCATCTGAGCTCAGAGGAATTTTCAAGGATCCTGAGAATAATTTCAGAAAAGTATAGATAGTTTTCATGTTCTATGTGGAAATGGCTTAACATCCCACTTTAAAGTTTTTTTAAAAAAAAATAGAATACTTTCATTTCTAAAATACTACAATATTGCAGTATTGATTCACTGCATAGTGCAGATAAGACTATTTCAGGCAGTAAAAGAACAAGGCTGAAATCATAAGGAAATAAATAAAAAGTATAAAATGTAAAGAAATATTAACCACACTGATCAAGACAATCTAAAAAGAAAGAACATCACAATGAGAGTAAATTGGCAGAAGAGAAAGGAAACAATGTTGGGTTTTCAAAAATGTAATTAATACCTTGAGCTCCAGGAAGACCAGCTGGGCCAACAGGACCTGAATTAAGAAACAAAACTGAACCACTGTTCTTACAAATGAAGCAATTGTATCTCATCTTCAAAAAGGAAAACCAAGTAGCCTATTAAATAATGGTTGTGTCTGCAAGATGCAATTATTTTTTTAAAGATTTCAATTTCACATGCCATGCTATCACAACACAACAATCTGTGCTTTCTCTCATTTCCTTCTATTAAAATGGTATTTATTTCTTCTAACAAGTGATGAAAAAAGGTGTCTGAATGAAAAAGTTCCACTGCGGCAATTCTGGCTTTAAAGAAGATGTTGTGAAGAAATGTTTTGTTTATATTTCTTCCGCAAAGGGAGAAAAATTGGACTTTTAACTATAAAGGAATTTGCTTCACACAGACAACTATGGAACTTTTGACACTATCATTTGTAAAATGGAATGGACTAATTTTAATAACTTAAAGCTTCAATGTACCTATATCATTTCCAAAGCATCTGGAAATGTCCCCTGTTCTAGTGATGATCACTCCCCGGACCCAACTGCTAGTCACTGTGCTGAAGGCTTTCCCCACCCAGGAGGGACAAGGATCTAATTAACACTGTGGTGGCACTGACAGCATCAAGGACTCTGTCCACTTCATCAGAGCCAACAGAGTAAACTGTATCATTAAAGTTAATCCCAATTTTTAAACACCAATGTACTGGTCCGACACTAAGACAAAAGAAATAATCAAGAGAAACTAGTCAAGAATGAAAGGAGATACCCACCTGGGACACCAGGTGGGCCAGGAGGTCCAGGAGCCCCTGATGGACCTGGTGGGCCAGGAAGTGCAACAGTTGCTCCACCATCTGAAACAGTTTAAAAAAATACACATAATTTCATGCAGAAAGATTGCCATGGAATAAGAAAGCTGTTGAGCAGAAATGAGTGTTCCTTCTGTGGCATTACCTGAACTAGTGACCTGGCCAGGTACTCCGGGTTCACCTACAGAAACAAGAAGAGATATTAAATTAACTTTAAATAACAAATTATTGAACGGTGGAATATACATTTGTTTAAAATGATATAACACTGCAATTGGGGAGAGAATTATGGCATTAATACAATCTGTTTCTCTGAGGATGAATTAATCTTTACATTTTATACATGGTCGTTTTCTAACTTCCCCATGTTCAGTTTCTAGATCAGTTTAATAAAAATCACCTCCGAATAGCTACACCTTTCTGTATTTTTAAAAATTTATATTTTTGCAAATGATTTTCTTTTTAAAAAACCATGTGTTAGGATTTTATGCACATATATGTTTATGCACACATCTTTAGAATAGAGAAATACATCAAATAAATCAATGTCTTTTTCCAACATCGTCTCTTATAGATTTGATCTTAGACAGTGCTTTGCTATAACAACATGGTGGAAAACTGGGGAGAAACCCTTTGCTAGAATACCTAATTACTCAATGGTCTTTTGGGACAATTCTTTATATCAGGCCATGTTATATATGGCCCAAGGCCACTTGTACCAACCCCAAAGATTAGGGAGCAAGTCCAAATCCTTCATCATCAATTTTTATAGGAAGCATTTTAAATACACAGAGAACAAATGTGCTAATTATATTTGGTTCAGTTAATTCAATTGGCATTCCCTTAATTTGAAATTAAATTAAATGGGACCTGTTCCGACCCCCTCCTCCATCCAGTAACGAATGCCGAGACAAGCTTAACTGGAATGAACTTTAATAGCAAGACACAAAGACCTCGGTGGCTGAAAGCCAAGCAGACAAACTCAGGCAGCAATAAACACAGATAAGGCTTGGCAGCAATCCAGCCTACCAAGCTCACAGTAATGTCCTCCGGCATTCAATCCTGCGTTGACTTCTGCAAAGAGGGGCGTGTACACAAGTAGCTTTTTATAGTCTGGAGAGGAGCCTAATGATCACCAGCTGAATACAGTCACCTCCTGTAATTGCGTAATTGTTCCTGACGCCTAGTAGCTCTTTGATGGCGTGCATCCAGGAACAACTCACTACTGGCCTCCGGCTCACTCTCCCTTTCTCTTCCCCACTGGTCCAAGGCTCAGGTGCCTCCTGGTGGCCAACCAGCCACTCTGCGCCCTGCTCAGAGTCAGAACCCTGTCCAGGGTCCTCCACATCCTCCAGAGCCGACTCAGAGGGCCCCTCACTGTCGGAGTCTGGTGGCAGCTCCAACGGCACCTGCTGGGCCACAACAGGGATCCAATGTTTCTTTTGGCCCTTCCCATATTTGGACTGTAGGACTTGGTTGGAAAAAGATTAAAGCGTTTCAGCTTTGCTTTATAGTCTTATTTTAGGAGAAAAGGAGTCGGATAGAATCTCTTGATGATCAGGAATTTACACGGAAGTCTCTACTATTTTTCAACCCAGTAATGCAGCTGCATGTGCCTCTGGAATACAGGGAAGAATTTCGGCTATTGCTCTGGCATACCATGATAACCTGCCCTGTCCTGATGTTGCGAGAAAAGACATAGCTAATATTACCTTTAGGACCAGGTCGGCCTGCAGCTCCTGTCATACCTGTGAAATGACCACATGGAATGAATAATATTCTATATCATTGTTTAATTGGTATACTGTAGCATTTTCATGCTATGAAGTCTCTGCTTCATTGCTTTTTGTTTGTATCTGTAAGATTCCCCTTGGGCCTCCAATGTGGATGAATATAGTCTGTTTTTTTATCTATTTAAAATTCATCATTTGGCAACAAAAAACCAGGCCATTCAATTTCAGGGATTTCCAGAATCAGAAGATAGACATGTAGGCATTATTTCATGTTGTTTCTTCATCCACTATGTTGAACATGACTAATGCACATGCTATGCATCCAATGGAAGTAAATGTTTCCTTTCTAGGAATAGCTCTGCAGCACTAAATGTGGCTTATATCTAAGCAAACAGATATAAAATTGGAATGCAAAATTCCATTGCTACCATCTCAGAAATTACTTTGAAGAAAAAGCCATTTCTGTTCCAGCTTAAATAAATAAATAATCTGTTCAAATTAAACAAGAACTATCCTATTTCTCATTACATTATTGCTCTCTTGAGTTCATAAAGACATATTATATTTATGGATTATATGTGCAATTTAATCAATAAAATATAGTTAAACAAATTATGGTTTGGTTTAGTTTGGTTCAGTGAAGGAATTTTGCCAATTAATTGTTTGTTACTTCCTCATCAAGATCAACATTTTAATCTACATATTTATTCATTAAGCATTTGTTTCCCTCCCGGTATCTTACCTGGTGGGCCTTGTGCTCCGGTAAGACCTAAGGAAACAGTGGTATTATATGAAGGAAGGCAAATTAGTAGATACAGTAATAATAATAATAAGAAAAACCTTTGATTTGTGAAAGTTTAAGTTTAACAACAGACATCTTTGTTGAAGGAGTGAATTCTTTTTCACTTGATTCAATGGCATCTTTTACTTCCCTCCTGATATGAAGACAATCAGCTTTTCGGCATTTATAAGATATGGGCTCCCAGAAACTCTGGAGATTGGATTTCCCATTGGCTAGGCTTAATCAAACCTGAATAAACTTTCCTTGGGAAGGAGAAGTCCTCAAATTCACCCATCTCTTTTGGGGAACTCATCAACTCCAACCAATAATGATTTCTTGATCTCCCCCATCTTTTCAGCCCTTTCATTCCCCTTTCATTAATTTGTTTTGCACTTTGATCCTCTCTATATGACTGAAACATGTCAAGGGTATCTCTTTGGTACTGTTCACCCCTTTTATATTCAATCTACATTAATTCATCACCTATTTATTTTTGATCTTATCTCTTTTTACTTTATCATATATTCTTCTTGAATCAATTGTTATTGCATTTTTTTGTTGCTTGTGATATCTAATTCTCAATTATACAACAGCGTTTTTTTTGCTTCTTTAGATCAATATTTACTATTTGTAACATATCACATATTGCATACTCAAATGTTTCTCACTGTCATCTCTTGCACCTCTTCAATCAGAGCCCTTCTCAGCCACAAACAATTGAATGTGTTTTGTTCTTGTTATTCTTGTTATGAATCCTTTTAGAAAAAGGAACTACAATGGCATTCCTCCAGTCATCAGGCATGGACCCAAGCTTATACACATGTTAAAAACTCACTCAGCTATTCCATAAGCAAATCACAATCATATTTAATTGTTTTTTTTTTATTTTCAACCTTTATACTGCCCAGAGTCACTTGTTTGTATTAAGAATACAAATTGAATAAATAAATATATACCATTTTTAACATTCTCGCAATGTTTGCGCATACCCTAGTCTGACCCTTAGTCTAGAACACTCCACAGGCAGAGAGCTATAACCTCCAGATAGAAAAATAAATTTCCTTTGCTGCAAATATTCTTCATCCATTTTGTATTACCTGGCTGTCCAGCATCTCCAGCAGGCCCTGGTGGTCCTCGTGGACCTGGGATACCCATAGGTCCTTGTTCCCCTACAAAAAGGTGAACAAGATATAAAATTAGTATTCTTTTTGAAAAATATGACCATTCAGAAAATGGAACTGATACTGATTACAACTAAAGACTACTCTAACATAATCTGAGATTATATATATATAATCACCTGACTTGAGATGTACTATTACCATAGGTTGCAGGTAGGGTTTGGATGTGAGGATAGGACCAAAATGACAAAAAGAGAGATAATGAAAGTATGTATATCTCTTTTGCCCCAGGATAATTTAATGATAGGTTTGATTTGAAACATTTGAGGCTGTGACATGCAGTGAATATATAACAGATGGCAATAAAAGCTACTAAAATTGAACTTCACAGTTAAAAAGCTATGCTTATGGTATTCTTTTCTTTTGTTAGTGGAAATATAACAGTTATTTACCTCTGGGACCTTGATGCCCATCTGGGCCAGGTGGACCTATAGAAATATAACAGCCTTTCAGATACTGCAAAAATACTCACTGAGTTCAATATATTTGAATAATACTGTTTTTCTTTTTAATGTCATAAAATTGCTTAGGCTGAACTTTCACAAACTCTCTTGGCTGAATTTTTACAAAAACTCTAATATAGCCTCGCATCTCACTATTGCAACTAATATAATCTTGGGAGTAGAAAAAAGGTAAAACAGATTATATATTTATTTATTTCCACTCATCATTACATTATATGTGGATCAAATCGCACAGGACTCAAATTGATCTAAATGTTTGCATATTTGCATGTACTGTACACACCTAAACTGCAAAGAATATTTATACAGAACTCTTTTTAAATTCATTCCTGCTTTCTTTTAATGAGTTTTACATTTTCCTTATCAAAACACTTTTAATTCTGGGATGTAGGTTTCAAGAGTTCTAAAGGCTAAATAATTAATTTGAAATAGATTTTCTAGAAGTGTCATTATGGAATAGTGCCTCTCACCTGCTGATCCTTTAGATCCTGGTTCACCTACTGGCCCAGGCAGTCCTCTGGATCCTGGTTCACCTGGAAATCAAACATACAAACATACATAACCTCAAACAGGACAACCTTTAGTCCTCCAGAATTATATTCAGCTTTGACTCAGGCCTTTGAGTGATGTACTTGGTACATAATGAACACAGATAGGTAAAAATATGCAGACACGTATCTTCCTCCACGCACATTTGTGCCCACACTCTTCACCTCCTATTTATATACACATTTATAAGCATTTCCTTTTCCTCCTAAAGATGCAAATACAGCAATTTTTAGCTCTCTCACTGGAAGCAGCAGATTGTCTCTTGCATTTCATCAAGTAAGTAGAGTGCCTGGAAATCAAAAATCTTCATACAAATCCTTTGATAAATCAGAATGCTTATCTCTGGATAAATATAAATATTTATGTAGCAGTTTCAATTTTTTTGATAATGTTATATATACCTGTAAGACCACGAGGTCCTCTCTCTCCTGGATCACCTAAAATACACATAGAAATAAAATGAAACTAAATTAATCTGTGTTATAATCCCATCATGGTCAGGAATTTAAAAAAAGACAGATTTGGTAAATTCCGGGTGGATGGGGGAAAATCAATAAAGAGAATTATAACAGAATACAGAATAACAGAGTTGGAAGAGAGTTGGAAGTCTTCTAGTCCAATCTCCTGCTCAAGCAGGAGACACTATACCATTTCAAACAAATGGTGGTCTAATCTCATTTTAAAACCTCCTATTATGGAGCACCACAACTACTGAAAGCAAACAGTTTCACTGGTTAATTGTTCTAATTGTCAGGAAATTTCTTCTTAATTCTAGGTTGCTTCTCTCCTTGATTAATTCCCATCCATTACTTCTTGTCTTGCCTTCTGGTGCTTTGGAAAATAGGTTGGCCCACTCTTCTTTGTGTTCAAATATTGGAGCAATGCTATCATGTTATCCCTAGTCCTTATTTTCATTAGACTAGACATACCCAATTCTTGCAACCATTCTTCATATGTTTTAGCCTCCAACCCCTAATCATCTTTGTTACACTTGTCTTCACTCTTTCCAGAATCTCAACATCTTTTTTATATCATGGCAACCAAAATTGGATGCATTTTTCCAAGTTTGGTCTGACCGGAACATTATCAAGTGGTATTAACACTTTACCTGATCTTGATTCTATTCCTCTATTAATGCAGCCTAGGACTGCATTGGCTTTTTTGACAGATGCAGCACACTCCCATCTCATATGTCAGTGATTATCCCACTAGCACTCTAAGATCCTACTTCCAGTTACTACTGTTGAGCCAAGTATCACCTATTCTATAACTGCATTTGGTTTGTCTTGCGAAGTTGTAGAACCATACTTTTCCCACTATGAATTTCATTTTGTTAGAATTAGATGTAAAAGCACAGCTACCTTTGGATCCAGCTATTCCCATGGCTCCTTTTTCACCTAAATAATAGAGAGAAAAGGGTTTAAAACAGAACAATACTGGCAGTAACATTCCTCAGCTATAGTGGGCTGAAAAGAAGAGTAAAGAAAGCCTACTGTTTAGTGAATTGGGCACATTAATTCCTTCTAATTTATAGATTATACATATAGGTAGTCCTCAATTTACAACCATTTGTTTAGTGACTGTTTGAAATGATAATAGCACTGAAAACCCATGACCATTTTTCACACTTACAACAGTTGCAGCAATCCCCATGGTCACATTATCAAAATGCAGGCACTTGGCAATTGGCCATTTGTTGCAGTGTCCTGGGGTCATGTGACTTTTTGCAATCTTCTGACAACCAAAGTCAATGGGGAACACAGATTCACTTAACAACTATGTTACTAACTTAACAGTTGTTAACAACAATTACTTAACAAATATTACTTATATTAATAATAAAATATTTTAGATGTACAGAATCCTTAGAATATACAAAATATATTTATTACACAATTTAGTAAAGATTAGACTATGCCTAATCTATAAACTAGATGGAATTGATACTCCCAATTTACCCCAACTGCAGTGGAGAGAGATATGTTAGAGCTTTTCAATTTGTCTCTTGCTTTTTCTTAATACTCTTATTCCAATTAATAATTATAAGGACTATTGTGTACATTTAAACATTTGTGTTTTCTTGCTTGCTTGTTTCCATATGCCTCTGTCTTTTGTAATGTGCATTTTAAACTCTAAAACTATAATATGAAAAGCCTGATTTTTACTGATATAATCCATTTTGGAACTAAAGAGCAGAATAATGCACATAGACATATACACAGATTTACATACACACATATTGTGTATAGCAGCGAATAAACAACATTGAATTTGGAACACAATGTTAGGCATTATATTTTTTTAAAATTGCTCCATGCATGTATATAGTACAACTTTTCATCCATTGAAATCCTTATATTCTTAATTTCATTATTTGTTATTAATATTGAGTTATCACATCAATGCCCAATGCCTCCTTCAGATGAGGTTTCAAAAAAAAGGCATGCATGTTCTAATATCATTATGCAAATGATGCAAATTAAAACTGTACATCATTTATGTCCAAACTGACACCATTTACATCATTTTCCTCATGACAACATAATGATACCTTGACTTTATGGCTTCTTCTCCACGCCTATGTTCAATACTATGTTATACATGTCCAACATATGATATGTTTTTGGATCCCATTCCTCAAACACAGAAGAATGGTTTGTGAGTTGTACCTTTAGAACCGGGGATACCTGCTTCACCTCTAAATCCTTGAATTCCTGGAGGACCTAAAGAAAGATCAGGAATAATTAGGAAGATTAGGCAAAAGATAACTGACAACATTTTTGAAGACCAGGAAATAAGTAACACAGAGATTTCAATTTAATTTTATTATGTTATGTTTATACAGATTTTACTACTTGTAAGCAAATTGGATGATGCCTACGTAGTTGTAATATCTTGATTTGCTGCATGTTTTAATATGCAATACTTGTTTTTTTCCTGATGGGCTACATTTCTTAGCTGCCCTCAAGGCATGGCATCAAGAAGGCAATAATATGTTCAGACTGAAAAGATATATTTTACCAGGAATGCTCTGGGCTATTGTATTTAATGTGGTGGAAAAAATCAATGGAGAAGAAACCTAAATTGATATTAGATCAATTTGGGAGTAAAATGTTGTGCCTGGTAATGATAGTGGTAGTATTCAAATTAATATTCTGCTCCAGAACTCTCTGTCCTAAAAAGGCACTACATCGAATAGGCTGAGCATATCTATTTACAATCCCCTATGATATCTTAATAGGAAGAGGCTCAGCATACCTGAATCTGATAGTATACTGGATGGGAAATTTAAACCGAGTCTTAGTCTTGACAAGGTGGAGAGGTTGTGGGTAGGTAGTTCTGAGGTACAGAAACTGAGGAATCGGTTCTAAACAGGATAGCATCCCCTCAGAAGAGACAGGAATGTAATTTGGGATGTTAAATATAGTATTAGTACACACACACACACTGCTGCCTGGTTTACCATAATGTGCTCTATGTAGGGCTATCCTTATAACCAATCTGGAAGCAGCAGGTAATGCAAAATATAGCAGTCAGATTTCTGAATGGGACATCAGATCATACACAAATGTCCTTCTTCTGAAGCAACTGCATTGGTTATCAAGTAGATCCCAGCGTAGTTCCAAGATCCAATAAGCTCTGGCCCCAATTTCAGGCACTATAATTTCAAAGGTTCAGATTTCTAGGAAGGCGGAGCTATTCCTCCTTTGGTAGCCTTTTGGTCAAGGAAAGAAAGAGGAGCAACAAAAAGATGGACACATAAGAAGAAAGTAGGCTAGAAAGAGAGGAAAAAGTCAGTCTGATCCACTTTTGATTCTGGCACAAAGTTCTAAATGTTGCTAACATGCAACATGTTGAAGTGGAAGAAATGTGGTCTTTGAAGGAAACATTTCCTAATTCTTATCTTTTTTTATTTTTACTAGGTTTTTGCATCAGATTTACACTTACCTTTAGGACCTATAGAACCTTGGACACCTGGTGGACCTTGCACACCTGGTTCCCCAGCAGAACCTGCATAATAAATGCAGTAGGTCACTTGATGAAGTTTGCTTTTTTTAAATCCCCTAATATGAAAATCCACAATTGTTATTTATAGCAATAATTCATTGTTCATATACGTTGCAGTACTGGGAAGATGCTTCTCTTCTTCATTCCCTAAAAGGAATATTGTTTCCTTTCAGAAATGTTTATAGGGCACAGTTATAACAAATACTCAGTGGCAATGTTCCCTCTAATTTTTTTTCAGTGTGTGCGGAAAAGTATGGTGTTTGAGCGGCACATTTTCATGCCTAAGCACCTGAATTTTTTTCACAGATGTTTCACAGAGCAATTGATTTGTAGGATCCGAATTGGAATGGAGAAAAATGGTTTTGTATGTGTGTGTTTGAGTGAGCGAGGGATCCAGTAAGGGAACTGCGCCTATTTAGAAAAGGTAAATTATTGCAAACATGATCATCAGTCGAAGATAAGTATGGGGACAGGTTGGGTGGTAGAGAGAAAGTGATAAAAGAGTGGGAGAGAGAAAGAGAGGAAGAAAAAAGAGGGAAGAGAGACAGAAAGAGATGGAGAAGGAGAGAGAAAGTGACAAAAGACTCTTGGAAGGAACGACCCGGCTTGGCTCCCGCTTTTGATCTGCCACCCAACAACCAAATGAAGAAGTGAAGAGGCAAGAGAGATGAGGCAGGAGAGATGAAGCGGGAGCCAAGCCGGGTCATTCCTTCCAAGAGGCAACTTTCCCATCGAATGACTTGCTGCCCTAGACTCGAGGAGACTCTCTGCAGTCCCTCTTGTATGGCCGGGATGCCAGCGAGAGTGTTGGGCTGAAGGAAGGAGGAATACACAAGCTCGGGCTCTTCCCCTTCCCCCCCCCTCTCAAGTGGCAAATCCGAGCAGCTGCTGCTGGGAGCCCGTCCCATGCCTTCTCCCAACCCCCATACCTCTTCTCTCAACTACTTTCTGCCTTGTGGACCTAGAACTGATTGCTGTCTCCAGGCTGGATCTCCTCTCCTATTATCATGGAAGGAGTCTCACAAAACCCACTGCACAGCAGTTGGAAACTGCTGCGCGGTGTTTTGTTGCCATGTGCGCAGCTGCGCACCTGCGCAGCTTAGAGGGAACATTGCTCAGGGGGAGCCTCTTAAAAGTGGTTGGTTACAGGAACCCAAGGCACAGAAATAGCTTCTGGATGTCCTTTTTCAATTCTGTCTTAAAGTTCCTTAATTTTCAGTGCCAGGTGCAGGGACACATTTGAAAGTGACAAGAGCACTGTGGACAGATAAGGCATTGTTTGCCTGTTACAAAACAAAGTAGCAGATGGCTTTCTTTTATTGTATCGCATTACTCATTAGAAATGACGAAGGGTTGGTTGGCATCCCATTTACTTAGTATCTGACTAGAATACCGTTTTCATTTCCAGCCCTGCTTGCATTTCTGATTAGCAAATATATAAAGAACAATAGGCAATATAATATTTTTAAAAAATCCTCAGTCATCTCTTTTGGCCGAGAAATTCAGCCCTTGTGATTTTCATATCACTTGGACAGATGACACAGTTTTTGTAGCCTTTGTGGTAAAAGCAATGATTCTAGCTTTTTGTTTTGTTTTGGTAAGTACTAAAATTAAGAATGGAGCATTGTCATATGCACTAAAGAAATGAATTGGGATCATAGTCCTTGAAATCTAATCTGAAATTCCTAGGAAAATAAGTAAGAGTCGGCAAGTAGTTGCCCAAAAGTAATTTGGCTGCAATAAATCGTCTTTCCCTGCACACATAGATATGCAGTAGGTGTCTAAGAAAGCCTGGAGTCAGAGGTTCAAAAATCTCAGACTTTTGCCAATGTCCAAGAAAATAGGGAATCCCTATTCCAAGGAAATACCACTGTTTTCTTATTTCTCTCCTCACTTCATTTCCAAGTAATGCAAGTTTGTACTGTTTGTAATGCAGAGGGAGGAATCTATCTTTTTGATCAAGTGCTGTTAGTCATTTAAATCTTCTCTTATGGTTTCTCTCTGTCTGAATCTGTCCGCCAGAAATAGAGGGGCATTCCTGGTAAACTTAAATGGTGGGCACCTGCAGTGCTTGCTACTTGCTTGTTACAGAGAGCCAGTTTCGATTCTTACCAGCTCAAAGTTGACTCAGCCTTCCATCCTTCTGAAGTCAATAAAATGAGGACAAAGATTATTGGGGTCAATAAGCTGATTCTGTAAACCGCTTAGAGAGGGCGGTAAAGCACTGTGAAGTGGTATATAAGTGCTATTATTATATGTTTCCCTTAAGATAAAGGGAAACCATGGAAAAAATAAGTGGAGGCATAGCTGCCTATGCAAAGCAAGGGCTTCACTAATGAATAGCAAAATAGCATTGCTGGGGCTTTGGAACTATAGTTAAGCTTCTTCAAGAAGAAGGATTAAATATTTCTCAAAATCTTCTGCAATGCAAACAGCTATCTCAACAGACATCATGGATGGCTAGTGTGAAAGTATTTCTGAAGACAGAATGCATGAAAGTCACAGATATAATATGTTCACAATCTTGAAAACTCTTCCAAATAATATTTTCTAGATTATTTGTGGAAGCAGAAAAAAATCTTACCTTTGTCACCTTTCTCTCCAAATCCCGGAGAACCAGGCTCCCCACGGAGGCCTGGAGGCCCATCTCGTCCTCTTGGCCCTATGGGGCCTTCCTGGCCAGTTTCACCTGTAAAGAATCAATTATTCAGAATATAGGTCCACCACAGCCTGTGTTTCACCCAATGTTTCTTCTCCTGGACTATAATTGTTATTACAGATAATTACATATGTTGTAATGACAAAACGGTGCCCCATATAAGATCCAAAATAAAGAAATATTTTGCTTACCCATGCTGCCTTTTAGTCCCCTTGGTCCTTCTGGCCCAGGGTGACCTATTAAGCCTGGAATACATGTTAGATAGAAAATGCATGTTCAAAAAATGATACGTGTCATTATTTATGCTCAGCTACAAGGAATCATAAGGGGAAAAAAACAATTACCTACATCTAATTTAAATTAATTTTAAATTAAAATTTATTTGAAACTTGAAATTTTGATTTTTGCTATAAGAATCAAATGAATCACAAAAGGAATAACCCCTTGAATGACTCTGTCATTAGCTTAAAAATAAATTATAAATCTTATAATTGATGTTGGACTAAGACACTAATTTTTTACAACACACAACTATTCCTAACATTGGCATTGCTATTTTAGGACCATCACAATTTTCTGTATTTCATTTCTGACCTTCAAAATCCATATTATCTATAGAAATTTTAAAATGACACTTTAAATAACATTTTAAAATAGATTGCATTAATTTCAGTGCAGGAAAAGGCACTGTTCCAATCTGGCAATTTGCTGTTGCATATGGATTCCAGATGCTATGAAAGCATGATTTCAGAATGTATGAATATGGAAACAAAAAGTGTCTTATAAGTTCAAGATGTGACTTTTTAGTAATTTAGTAAATGCCACTTTTTTCTATTGAGGTAACTGAGTGATAACTGTTAGCTACTTTTCTCTTTAAATCAAGAATGAAGTATTGGATTCTTGGGTAATATCAATGTAAGAACACCACTAACGCTGACATTTACAGTAATTACTGGTGCAGCTCAAGAAGATGGGCTATAGGAAATTGGGATACTGTTACTAAGTTCCACCTACCTGGTATGCCTGGGTCTCCTATAGAAACAAACAAACAAAAAGTGATAATAAGTAACATAATTTTCCAACAGCAATTTTCTGGTCTTTTGAGTTCCACATTATGTCAGTTACACTTGCAACTGCAAGGCAAAGGAGATTTAAATGCTTTCACACACAATAGAAATGATAAACTTGAATTAACTCTGTGCTTGTGCTATTCAACAGATACCTAGTTTCAAGGTTCTCAACAAATCAAAATCCCCTTTGTACCATGGAAAGCAGATAAAACGAATAATGCTTTTCCTGGAATGTTCCTGCTTAGCCATCTTGACTTCTTAAAAAAATGTAAATGTCTTTTTCATCTAGATTTTTCAAGGTACAGCATTAAACTCTTCATATAAAATCAGCACTGTTTCACCTGACAGGCACTATGCTCAACTTTTCCTTTTTACCAACTATTATTTAGTATCCATTGTTGAATAAGTTGGGTTTTAGATTGCTGATTTTTAAGAATATGTGGCTAATTATATTTTCCTAATCTTGCAATTCCTGATAGCCATTGATATTCTATTGTAGATACATATAAATACATATATGCCAGAGGTGGGTTGGGAATTTTTTTACTCCTGGTTCAGGAGTGCTCCTGCGTGCGCAGACGTGTCCGGTCAGGTGGGCAGAATTTCCTGTCGTCCAATCCAGGCCAAACCGGCAGCAACCCACCTCTGATTTATGCCTAATGAAAAGTTATGTCTATATTGCTTTCACAGGGCTAAGCGTCTAGAAAAAATTGAACTTACCTTTTGGTCCTTGGATCCCAATATCCCCTAGGGAAGAAAATGGGAGAAAAGCATAAATATTATAGAGGGATTATATCCAGACTTTCCTTATTTTGTTTACCTTTAATTCCTACTATACTTAGAATATGTTCGAGAAGCTGGTGAAAGGCAGAAATATCGTTGGCTCTATATCAATTAGTCTCAGGTGGTTTATTTTTCAAGACATTGCTCCATATATTTCATAGTAAAAAACACAAATTCCAAGGGTTCACTTAATTTTATATAAAATGCATGCCTAAACTAGAAATTCAAATGTGTCTGACTATTAGTGCTTTTTCCTAGAGAAACACAAAGTATGCATCTTCCCATGGAATCATGCTAATTTTTTTAATGCTAAAGACAGAACTAAAAGCCCCCTTTCAACCATATACTGTTTAGAATACAAATGAACAATAAAAGATACTCTTATTCAAATATTGAAACAAATCTAGTAAATTGCTACCTTTTGGTCCTGGTTCTCCTCGGAACTGACCTACATGGGTATATGGAATGACAGTCAGATGCTTGTACAAAGGATGCAAAACTATTTCTGGTTTATTACTGATATGGCAAGATAAGTGAATGGAAATATGTGTGGCTTAGAAAGTATATTATATAAAATATGCGTAGAAGGTATTGCTAGACCTCTAACATTGTGTATCACTCACTTAGTATGACACTATCCAGCATGATTTTCTCCAAAATGTTTAAGAAAACATTTTAAAAATGGCATAGGCTAATCTGGCACCTTGAAAGGAAGCATGCTACAGAAATACAAGATGCAAGTCCTTTCAGCTACATCTCCAATTACCTGTGTTAAACTAGGACAGACTAATGAACACTAGTGCTTGGTAGCTGACCAGTGATCTGATTGATGAACCCATTAAAAAAGACCCTGTTGACCTTTTACAAAGGACTGAAAACCTAGATGTACTCCAATACATGGAGGTTAGAAACTTAAATGGCCCGTGAAATAAGATGTTATTGTGTTGTTTATTGTTTGTTCTTAACCATTGCAGGATTGTTTTGTTGATATTGTTTTATGAATTAGTTTTTGATGTGTTAATCACCCAGATATGTATTTGTGAGATGTACAATCATATAAATTGATTTAATTTTAAAGAGTGACTGTGGCATCTGTATTCTGTTCCTTTTCATACTTTCATGTCCTAATGAATTTGATTTTTGTATGTTTCTCACCTTGTTTCATCTCCACACTTATTAACGATTTCAGATAATTCCGTAGTTCATGTTCATTCATATTGCTGAGTGTGCCTCCCTGGCTGACTAACTTTTCTGAGTAAGTGCCAATTCCTTGTCGGGACTCAATCGGTGATTCAAGGCTCTCCACTCGCGATTTCAACTTCCGTACTTCCTCCGCTGAAATTTTAAAGTAAAATAGAGAATTAAGTTGTCCTTATACCTTGTAGTTTCGTGCAAAATTTTCAAGAAGTAATTATTGAACAGAAAATAACTGTGAATTGAAAGAAAATTCTAGGCAGTTCTTTCAGTGAGCCTCTTTCAAAAATGTAAACAATTGTTTTTGTTCAAAATCTGGTTTACACATTATACAAAATTATGATGAGCTTGCTTTGCTCTGATTTTGGATTAGCATGCTGTATAAATGCAGCCCCTGTTGTATACAGTACAATCATGGATCTTAATACTATGGGTAACCCAGACCATTATAAAATGTTTAACAAAATATGGTTAAAATAAACTGACAATACTTATTTTCTAGGACCAATCATTTGAAGAGATCTTGAACTTTTTGCTTCTCCCATTCAATGATAATATCTTACCCAAAGCAATAAGTCCAAAAAGAAGACCAAGAAGGAGCAGCCAGGCCAGTAGCAAACCCAGGAGCCACATCCACCAGTTGCAACATGAACTACAGGGGCACCAGGCTGGACAACCCCCGGCCCCTCCACACCCATTATCACCTCTGCCTCCTGTAGAAAAGGATAATTAAAAAAAAAACAAATTAGTCCCTGGAAAGTGAGATTGCAAAAGCCGATGGTTGTGGGGAAGGGGCAAAAGTCATACCTTTGAGTCTTATTCAGAATCTAAACTCAATATTACAATAATTAGCATTAAATAAGTATTCACTTCATATTTAAAGAACCTGCACTGAGAACCAATCTTCAGTTTTTGAGAAACATTGGGCTTTAATTAATACAAACAGCAAACACACACACACACACACACACACACA